TATGGATGGTACCCAACTCACATCGATTTGTTCATTGTTAGAATAACGTGTTGAAGAAACATTCAAAGCGGCTATTGTTCCAATTGATGATTGAATGAAACGAGAAGAGGTGATTAGGAGTCGACTACAATTAAATGGATTCGACACATTGATACTGAAATGGGACTTGCGCAAGGGGCATTTGTCCTGCACATGTGCTTCGCTTTTGAGGATAACAACAACAAGAAGAAGGATGCAACGAAACCCCGTTATGAAACAACATCTCGACGCAGATTGTGAGCTTCGCCTCTTGTTCGTCAGAGAATAAAGGAAAATGAATAATAAGAAACTGATAACTTATCTTTTTTTTTGTTTTCGAGGGCTTGTGCGACAAAAGATTGGCGAGATGAATACTTGGAATGAATTCACACACTTTCAAAATAACCTTCGGTTTTGAGCCAAAAATTCTCAATCATTCATGATAAACTAAACATTCCTGTTCTAATAGTTTTAATATGATTAGAATAATATAAGCTACTATATCTGCCATTTCTAATAATGCAATGACTATCGACTACCCAGTCATTCGTGAAAGTGCAAAAGGCGCGTGTCAATGCGTGAAAATGATACGTGTACATGCATGAGAGATAGAACATAAGTGGACTTACGTAGATTTAAACTCGACATGTCACACTAGAAGATGAACGCACTTACCACACGGCTATTCTATCTTATCGATTATCACTCACGAACCCTTTTACATATTGAGCTTCAATTTACCTGCCAGTGCATGCAAGATAACTATACATTATGACCTATTTTCTTAACCCCCCCCCCCCCCCACCAAAAAACTATTTTTGTTCCAGAACAATCGATCTGGCTGAAATTTTCAGGGAATGTGTCTCCCGTCCTAGACAGTATACAAGAAAAATTTCAATGCAAAATATTGAGATGTTCAAGCGTTATCCTAACATTAATGGTCAAACAAGTAGGTGTTCGTGTGTCCCAGATTTCTCCTCAAGATCTAATGATACAGATTTCGGGTTGGTGTCAAAATGTAGCCAACATTTGCCGCTACAACTTAACAAAATCGGATTTTTAAAAATTTTGTTTGCTGATTTCTTCGGAAAGATTTTTTTGCAAAAGTCGAAAAATTGGGGCTCATTTTTCGGAAAATTTTCTCTTTCTGAATCAATGAAATCGAAAATAAAAAATTCGACTCAGTTAAGTTGTAGCGGCAAGTCATGGCTACATTTTGACACCAACCCGAAATCTATACAAGATCTGGAGGAGACATCAGGGACGCACGAACAGGTAATAACAGAAAAAATCGTTTTGAGAAAAAAGCATAAAACCAGTTTGACTTAAAAAATCAATTTTCTTTCTTCATCATGCGTTATAGGAAAAAACTGAGAATAGTTCGTTATAGGTTATCGACTATGGCGAATCGAATGGACAGATGCAAAAATGCGTCTGGAATACTTCTCCAATAGCTAAAATTGCCATTTTTTCTGATTTTGAGTGTTTTAGAAAAACACTCTGTAAGACGCTCAAAAACCACCGCAAAACTAATAAACTATAGTGCGTTCGAAAGTAGAAACTTCTGGCTATCCAACCAGGTGTAAAGCTCGAAAATCGATGTTTCTGACGAAAATTAGATTTTTTGATGGGGGGGGGGGGGGAATTACTTTCCATGAAATACTCTGAAATTCTGTAGAAAATGGTGCACTTCATTCAATATTTGTAGTTTTGAAGAGCTCATACAACTGTTTTAAAACGCGACAATTGTACTAATTTAGCTTTATCATTGAATTCGATCCGTTAGTGATCTTCATTCTAAAGAAAAAAGTTGCATACGAACATCGAGATTACTGTTTAAAAAATAGAATTTCCTACAAATATTTTATTTTTATGATCTCAGATTTGTCTTGTTAACCACGAAACATCATTCATATGGCGATTTTGTGGGGAGTATTCTACAGCACAGTTCATGATAAAGAAACAACGAAAAGGTTCCCATTTTACAGAGAAATTATTAATATAGAAAAAAACGAAACTGTCTCTTCATGTAACTGGTCCGATACGTTTGAAAAATCTTATCGGTTTCAGTTTTGTTTTTAAACTAAGCAAACAACGACTTTTTTTTCAACCTTCAACCGGTAAAAGACCGGATCCGGCCGGCTGGTTGATAGATTCAACCCAATCCAACCGGCCGGTTGGGTTCCAGCTCTGCTTTTGTAACATCTATCAAAAAAACATTTGTTTGGGTTTTCTAGAACACAAATTTTCGTTTTTACCTCATCTTTTATTCGATTTATTCAAATTTTTTACATCTTACATGTAAGCAATATCAATATTGTGTTTCTATATAAAAATAAAATCATCAGAAAAAGAAACCAATCGTACATGTTGGCTCGATGGTTCATAACTCAAGACGTTCAAACCAAGTCACAGACTCATTTCTAAAATTATTTCGGCTTCATTACTCTACATCTTTAAGCAACATATTGAGTGTGTGTGTTTACAGAATTGTTTTGCGTAAATCATCGCCAAAGAGAAGAATTCGATTCCTTGATTGGCAGAATAGCAAAAACAATTGTTAACACTGAACCAATCTTTGAACCAATCATTCATGGGATGGTGCATGAAAAATTCTTCGCTTCGTGTTCGGAAACCACAGTGATGAAATTTTGATGTCAGAAGTATTGCAATTGTTCTAATCAATAATCAATGATAAATTGATGGTTTATTCGAGTTTTATATCGGATCCATAGAAATGTCAATTTCAAAGATCATACAGAAAATTCAGTATAAGAGAAAACGTTGATCAAAACTTAAAGGTTGTAGATTTTTTTTTTGACAAAAATGGCATATTGACAATGATTATGTATGATTTCATAGTTTTCTTCAATTTTATTTTTATCTAATTTTTGAAGAATTTTCTTCAACTCTATTTGGGAACTAGATCTTATTAGATTAAAAGTGAATCGATTAAAACCAATCAATAAAGTTTTTAGATTTTCATAATATGTCAAGAATTTCATTATCGCATCTACACATTCATCATAAATTTCCGAACCAAATGTCAAGTCAAGTTTCAATTGAAGATCTTGAAGATTTGAAAAATAGATATAATTTTGTTTTCCAAATTGTTCAACGATTGAATTTCCCTCGATGACTAATCGTTCAATTTTATCATTCAATATCCAAGTCAATTGACTTTTCAATAAAGGAAATTCTGTACGACATAAAACTAGATATCTTATATTTGGTAATGTATTCATGAACCATTGTTTTTCATTTTCTAATGATCCACAAGTTAGATGAACAGTCATTATACGATCTAATGTTACATTCATATTATTTATTTGATTTTGAATCATATGAAGATCTTGAGTATTATCAGAATAATTGAAATAGTCGATTGATATTAGATGTAATTTTGGCATTTTTATTCGAATTCGTTTCAGGAGATCGAAATTGGCTATTTTGAATTTTATGGATTTGACATTGTACCATATTCGAGGATTATTTATTAAAATCTCATAATTATTGGAATCAACCCGATCGAAATCGGTAAAATCGTATAGTTTATCGAAATGAAATGGTAATGTATACAAATATTTGTCATGCATTCCAACAGTCCAATTATGATCCAGCCAAAAGTGATTTTTAAATGTCGATAAAATACTTTTAATATCAATTAAATCTTGAGTTAATATTGCATACAAATGAAATTGTTGAAGTTTTGGCATTAATTGTAAAAATTGTTGTTGAAGTTGAATACCATTGAATGGTAAATCATTTGATGATGTTATATAACAACCAATTAAATTTAATGATAAACAAACTAATGATAATGAAAATTGTGTTATAGCATTGATTAATTGATGAAAATCTATTCGTCTAGAAGCTAATCTACTTCTTCCATATATTCTACGATTGAATGTCAAATAGAATTGTTTTAATTGAATAGTATTATTGTTCGACCATCGATTTGGTCCATGAAATTCATAAGGTGTCTCTGATTGAATATTTAAATATTTCAAATACGGTGTATATTGAATAATAGAAAATAAATCTGGGTGTGGGTGTGGGTGTGGGGTGTGGGGTGTGGGTGGGGTGTGTGAATGTGGGTGTGGGTGTGGGTGTGGGTGTGGGTGTGAGGCGTCGGTGTGACTGTTGAAATAGTTAATGTCACAGTCATACCCACACCCACACCCTCCAAATTCATATTTATACCCAGGAAATACTTTCAAATGACTGTTTATGAAATAAGATTAGCGAGGCACACTACTTTCTTTTTTTACTAAAATGCAGGCCATAGTTTTAGAAGCTCTGTTCTGACCAATTTGTTCCTTAGAAAATGAAAACTTAAGTATTAGGTTTTCGACCACATGAAAAATTCTTCATGAATTACAATTGTAACATCTAGGGAAAACGCCTGCTTTCCATAGCAAACTTTCATGTGGTTATCATCTAGACAAAACTTATACTTAAACTATATGAGCTATCGACACACCGATTGGTACTACTGATTTTGTGAATACGTTTCATTTCAAAACTGTACACTAATATATAAATTTGCTATCAGTTGTTCACTTAATTTATTTTCAAAAATACAAGATAAGACTAAGTTGCTGCACGAAATAAGAAATTAACACAGACAGATAGTAATCATAAAAATTTTCCAAAAAAGAAAGGCTTAAATTAGCAAAATGTTTTTGATCATGTCAACTCTCATTTTTGTTATCAAAAAATGTGATAGCAATAATAAAACTAACGTCTGAAGACACATAGAAGATAGCCGTCTCAGAAAGTATACAACCAAAATGTAGGGACGATGTTATACTTATAAGAATAGGCAAGAACTTTTTCGTTTAATATTTAAGTTTTGCGATACCACGATGGCAAAATTAACCATGGTATCTTTTTTGATCTAAAACAGTTTTCCTGTCGATAATTGTAAGTGCCTCAACACTAAACTAATGTTTTGTTCAAAAATTTGCTCTCAGAGTTCAATGAATTTGTAAATGTATTCTGGGATAATAAGACGATGCATCAGTACTTGATTTCCAAAACTTAGCAGTCAGGCCAAATATTAGAAGGATGAATCAAGCTAGGCTAAAATTTAAAAACTAAAACTCTAATGAATACTTGAAAAATAGTTGAAGTCAAATTCACCGTGATCGATTCGTACACAATCGTTCATTTTTCGTTATCATACAATTTATCCTTAAGTTTTTCTTCATAGTATCAAACGCATTTCCCTTACCACATATATGCTAAAATTTCTAACTATACATAAATAATCGAATTTTCTTGTAACTTTCAAATAGGATAGATTCTGCTAGCATATATCCACAAGCATCCTTTTCTAAGTTTGAATGCTCAGAAATAAGAATAGAAAAAATAAAAACTAATTGAAACTGATAATATAATTCGGTGTTTGCCAAGTTTTATTCTATGATGTTTAATGAAAACGAGGTTTTATCCCTGATTAATTCTTATACAAAATAGTATTGATTTTTCCATTCTTACAACAGTATGCATAAAAAATTTCAAAAATAAATCTTCAGAAAACAACAGTTTTTGTAAATCAATACCAATGAATTAACAAAAGACAAAAACTGATTTGTAGTAATAATTAACTTTTGCATTCGATAAACAACAATAAATTGAATAGACTTGAAATTCCATATAGATGGAATAACTTATTGCTTTCTAAACAATGTATCATCAAAGTTCAATCGATTCTTGAGAGATAAAAAAAGTAAAATAAAGTGTTTCAATATTCTTCAAACTACCAATTTAATTTTGTTTGAAAAATATTTTTAGTGTACTATATATGTTTGAACGCGATGAGAAGAAGGTCGATTACCGGCATGATTAACACTTTTAAGTGAAATTTCCACTACATGAACTTCGTTCAATAAAAGACAAGTTAAACAGAATTTATTTATAAATAATATTCATTTGAAAAAGCCATAAGGCGATGATTTTCGTCACTTTTTTTTTCAAATGATTTTTCTATGGTGATTTTATTCGTCGCTGTTTTTCTTATATTTCTAATTGGAAGAGAAATATTGGCAAGGGACAATAAACGTGTCCTCCTAATATTTCACTGTATCAGATTCATAGTTTGTTTTTTTCGTCAAATTTGTTCATCCTTAAACAAAAAAAAAAGAAAGATACGCTTTTCTTTCTGGTTCATTAAAGAGAGACGAATACATCTTATGTAACGAAAGGTAAGATAGTTATTTCTCTTCATATAAATCAATTTTCAAGTATATAATTTATTTAAAAAAAAAATCATCTATATAATTTGTATTCTTGATATTTTTTGTGATTTTAGTTGAAAAGCGGATAAAAAGAAAAGTTATACTTAACATTTTATTTGGCTTTCTTAAATTCAAATAGCATAGATTGAAAATTTCTTTACATCAGAAATAATTATAGAAATAGATAAAAATTATAAAGTATTATTCCAGAAAATGAATGTTTTGATATATAAAACATGTTATAAATAATTTATTATTTTGTTGGTAAGTTTTATCAGCGTAAGAAGACAATATTACTATGAAAATTTCATAGATCATTGAAACACATGTAACTTGACCAAGAATAGAAGTACAATTTTTGGGAAAGAGACTAATATAAAAAAAAGTGTTGAAAGACTTGTGACTCTCGCTGCTACATGCGTATACAACAAAGTTGATAGTTCGAATAAATGTTGAAGAAGTAGAACGGAACAAATTTTTCGAGGTACACGTATACACTTGAGTACCAAGAAATCTGAATGATGAGGGCGGATAATGGAATCTGCATATCACTAAAATATATTAGTTTGTTGTGTTGAAATCAATTCAGTGGTGGACCATAATATCCTTGCAATGGTTCATACAGGAACATTTCGAATATATTTTTTTTTGTGAATCCGAATTCAATACAAGGTAGGTTTCTCGAGTTGAATTTCAGCTCGTACCAGACAAGAAGTAAAAGATTGGGTCCGCTACTGGCCAGGCTTAAGGCTCGAAGCATGTGTAACTTCCTAGACTCGTACTGCATGCAGTCGGTACTGGCGAAATCCTATCACGAAGATATTTTGTGCACTTTTCATATGTTTAACGTGGTTCATTGTATGTAATATAGTAGAAGGTATGATATTCAGTTCTGTAGTTGTTATAGCACATATTTGTTCTTTCATGTAACACAGTAAGAAGGTCATTCATAACACAGAACATTTCGGGAAATAGGTTCATTTTAACAGATTCATCGAGAGAAGATTACGGTTTAATATATGATCAAGGTTTTTTTTTGCTTTAAAACTATATACGAGGGAAACTTCAATCTGACGAGATTATTTATGTTTGACTGATGTCGTGAAAAATAAAATTTAATTTTGAAACATTTTCCCGATATATCTTCACTGCTAATGTGAAGTCGATTACCTGTACGAGTTTGAAAAATTATATTTCGAAATTAATTCTCAACTAGAGTATATATATGTAAATAGAAATAATTTATTTGTCTAGATAAAATGATAAATACATTAGAAAATTTGGCAAATGAAATTCTTTTTAATATATTATCAAATTTAGCATGGTTTGAAATGATAGAATCGTTTTGGGGAATCAATAAACGATTTAATTCTCTTATTTGTTCGGTATTTTCAATGAATAATGATGGAAATCAAAGTAGAATCATTATTACTGGAACAGATTTATCTTTAAATAAATATCAGTCAATATTTTGTTCACTAAATTCCAGCTCAACTCTTTCTGCTTCTATAAAACGACTTCATATTGATGGAGCAAGATCAATTTTTTTCGATATCATATCTGAATGGATTTTTCAAGCAAATTTGATTCGTTTTATTAATTTGAAATCACTTATTTTGACTCGATGTTATCTATCTGAAACTTTAATTAACAATTTATCTTTACTTGTTCAATATCAAATGGATGAACTAATTCTGAAAATTGATAAAGATTCTTCTGAAATGTTTGAAAATCAACAAGAATCTTGCGTAAATGATCTTAATCAAGGTAAATTGAAATTTCTTGTCAAACAGTTCATTTTATCAGAAAAATCTCAGAAATTAAATATTGATAACAAATGAAACTTACAGATTTTTATTGAAAGAAAAATAACAAAGATTTGTTCTTTATTTTCATGACATAGTTCGAAAATTTACAGTCATATGGAAACACTTCATACGTCAATTTTTTTCTTCTAAATGTCAATTAACTGCGCTTCGACTTGATATTTCGGAAGACGATCCTGTTTTTGTAATACCTGAATGTCTTTCATCGTCTGATGATATTTATTCAAAACTAATTTACGATCAACTTGTTACTAACTGTATAACTCTTCGCCATTTACACGTTCATCTTATGTATGGTCATTTTATTGAACATATTATTGACCATGTACCAGTTCTTGAAACTCTCTCAATTAGATTCAGGGATGTATTGGCTCACGAATGGTTACACAAGATGCAGATTATACAGTTTACCCCAATTGTTGTCAATTGGAATGATAAGGTAAAATAAATGAAATAGACGCTAACCATTGTTTAATCAGAGAAAAATATATTTCTTGTATGTAGATCTTCTCAAACAAATTCTTATTTCTGTGCAAAATCATAATATCTTTTCCACTATCCTAGACTAATGTTTTGGGTTCGAAACACCAGACATTTCACTTTTTTTCTTGTAGAAAACAATGACGTATTTGGCCACTATTAGGAAGGGGAAATATAGGTTATAGGTAAAGTGCTAGAGGGAAATGCAGACATTTGCAGTTGAGATTGTGCTATATTGCTTTTTATTTCTTCGATCTGTTTCAAGGTACTTTAAAGTCACTTTATACTACTTCACGTATACATTGAACCATTCTAAGCATATTTCAAGCTACTCTGAAGTACTTCAAAGTAACTTGGAGTAGTTCTAAGTGCTGACGTAATTCAAAGTATTTCGGTGTAGTTGAAATTACTTAATACTTTAAAATATGTCCATATACTTTGAGCTACTTCTATGTACTTTGTACGTTTCCACTTCAATTCTACTTTTTTCTCCATCGATAAAGTATGTCTTCCAATTGTTCAAGATACTCATGAGTTATATTCAAGTTATTGATCATCTATAGTCGATATGAGTTCAGAGTTTTCACGATGACGATACGGGCTAAGATGTCGAAGTAGTTGTAAATAGTAGATTAAGCTATAATAAAAAATCGTTAATTAAAATGGAAGACCTAAGTCTTTCGTTTCAGCTAAAGAAAATCGTAGAAATCGGACATGATTCCGGCTGAGTATGAACCGTCATCTGTATGAAGAAAAGCTTGTTCGCGTGAAGGGTATACTCAAGAAAACTGACTTTGAGAAGAACGAAAAATAATGTTTTTGATACAGTAAGCTACCGAATATATCCACAACTATTCGTCAAGTTTTATTAAATAGTGTATATGCGGATATGTCATAATGTTCTTCAATCAAAATTTAAATGGAACTATAAAACTTGTGGTATAATGTTACAATACAAGTTCATAGTTCTCAGATAGAGAACCATCATAAAAACTCATCTTATTTTAACAAAAAAAAATTATGCTAGTTTATAGTCAATTGCAGGGACTATCAGAATATGTATTAATATCACAATCGATTCTTGCTTGAAAAATTGACTTTTCTTAGAGCGAGATAAAAATTGATAAGAAAAACGTAAAAACGAATAGACATATTGTCTGGTCATCGATTAAAAGATATTCTAAATTCTCGTTTCGTTTGAAGTTTTTGCAACAACTCTAAATCTATTGATAAAGTACTCCACAAAACTCTTCGGTCTCTAACAACTGTTTCAAACAACATAAGTAATCAAACATTTCCATGTATTAAAAAAATATACTTCATGCACTAATTATCAATAGATAATAAAATCATTTTTGTTAGAAATACGATTTTTCATACTTCGCACTAGATTTGTTGCTAGGTTCGTTAGAAAGTCTTCTCATATCATACGAAGTCTCAAGAATACTCCAAGTCACTCGGATTGTTAGAATAACCATCGGATGATGAGATAAAAAGACGATTTCATATCGTTGATTCAGTGGAAGTGCCACATCAGGCTATTCGTTTATGTAAGAATCTTTAAAGCTACAATCACGCTATCTAAATTGAAGGCTGCCGAAGACTCATGTGGACTACTGCAGTTTTGATTCATTGTTATACGATTTATTTTGTACAAAAAAAAGATTTCACATTAAAAGAAACGTATTTTCAAGTAATTATTTCTTTAATTGTAGGTTCCAAAATTAAAATTTTTTATTTTAAAAAGTAAGATTAATGATGATTCTAAGTTTGTATATCTAAAATGGATTCTTAATAACGTTAATCATGTTGAAAAATTAAAACTTCGACTTCATATAAATTTAAAATGGCAAGGGTGTGGGTGGGTGTGGGGTGTGGGTGTGGGTGTGGGGTGTGGACGGGTGTGGGTGTGGGTTGGATGTGGGGTGTGAGTGTCGGTGGGTGTGGGTGTGGGTGTGGGAATGACTCTTCTCTTAACGCATACCCACACCCACATCAACACCCACATCTACATCCACACCCACATCCACACTCACACCCACATCCTTTCGTATAGAATCTGTATCTTGTTTTGATGTGGTATACCTTTCATAGAATGCAACAAACACTACTGTTGATTACTCGGCACAACAGTGTTCGATGATTTGCTTGTGTGAAAAGATGTTGTCAACATTTGCTGATTCATTGTCACTTCACCTGAATATTGACTTTGAATTTCTTTTTCTTGAAAGCTAAAGAAAAAAACCCGCTGCTAAGAAGGGTGTGGGTGTGGGTGTGACTGTTTGTATGTGTAGATGGAAAGAAGAACTACGCCAACACCCAAACCCTGTAATGCTCGTGTCTATTTGTAGTCGAGCTGTCATCTCTTGCATTTTGCTGCACTCCTCCAGCTTCTCCTATGTCCTGCATATCTGACACGTCTCTCGGCTTCTTCATAGACTTCTCCAGCTTTCCAGATTTCACGGATTTGTGACAGAGTTCAAAATTCCAGTGTCAATTCTGTTTTCCGATGTAGAATACGAAATGATGACACGCTGATAGATTCAAGTCAATATACAAAAAATGCACCAACCTTTAGTATATAGGTAGGATCTTTTCAGAAAAAATTGCATGGATTTATCTATCGATTCGTATGACTTATAAAGTCATTTTTGTTGAGCAAACCTCATGAATGCATTTCATTGAACAGCACATTACTCAGAAAGCGTTTTGTAACGATTTCTAACAGTGTATTTAATCCATAACGAAATGAAATGCATCGCACAGACTCAAAACAAGTCGTGTTTATTTTGTAAGAAACGAAACGCATGAAGCGATGAATTTAAATTGAATAAAAACATGCTCGTATTGAATATTGCAACATGCAATACGTTCCTTCTAAGACAAACACGAAACGAAAGCTGTGTCGTCCGTGGTTGATAGAAGTCGAAAGAATTACAATAGTGTTTTTTTGTTTTACTTCTAAGCAACGCTATATTTTTTCTACTTTTCTTCTCTTCATATGCCTGTATGATTTGAAGTGGCAGTGAAAACCTATCATATTTTTTATGCCGAATTCGTAACTAAAAGCAGTGAAAGAAAAACAAAAACGTGGTTAAAGAAAGAACATCATCAGAGAGACAACGGTAAACCGCTTCTATGAATTCATTTGCATATACTCTGCGATTGGTAAAACCGAAACATCATCGAACGTTGAAGTTGTAGTTTGAGCGCAAGTATAAGCTGTTTATATTATCTTTTTCATTTCTCTACTGAAGAGAAAAATTCTCAAGGGCGTTAAAGGAGTTAGAGACATGCTGATTAGATGCATGTTAGTAATCTTTCTTCTGGGGAGACAAAAATTATGTGGGCATGGCAAAGAAAATTGGAAACCATCATAAGCGTGACGAAAATCAATCTTTTTAAAAAGATGAATTCCATAGAAAAATTTTGTATTCGATGAATACTGTTTTCTGTAGTCTATTGAAACTGAAAACTAATAATCAAAAAAATAAAATTTTAAATAAGAATAGTTTCGCAGAAAGTTTTCGTTGGCAACGATACTGTCGATGTTACTCGAAAACTTTTACATGTGACATTTTTTTGTGAAATTAAGGGAGTGTGTTATCAGTATAAGTGTTTGCATGGCTGAAAGCCTGTTCCTCCACTGCTGTCCCGACACTCTATCGCGTTATGGAATATTTTGATCTAAAAGTGGTAGAAGTAAGTTAGACGTAGTGTCATAGATGCAATACAGCAAGTTCTTGCTAGATTTCAAATCATGTTAATCTGGAAAAACCTGCACCATATGTGTGCGGATGGCCGACCTTTTCAAGGATACTTATGATGCAAGTTAACTCAGTGAAAAATTAAAAATCTCATAGAGAATTTCATAAACATTTCAGATGGAGAGGCTGCATTTGCAATATTTAAAACAAAACTTGTGTCAGCACACTCTAAAAAAAAAAAAGGTTTCCTCGGAAACCGATACCCCTTCGGAAACCTTTTCGCAAACCTTTTTAGGTTTCCGGAAGGGTTTCCGAACTTATGTTGAGTTTCTGACAATACCTTGAGGGTTTCCGAGCATCCGGAAACCAATGGATTTTGGAGAGAGCGGATTCGGAAACCTTCAACCGTATTCTCGGAAACCGCTTTTGCTTCGAAAACCTTTTCGGATACCCATTGCGTATCCTCGCATACCTTTGGGTTTTCGATATTTTTTTATCGAAAACCCTTTTGGGTTTCCGGGCATCGGAAACGGTCGAAGCGTTTTCCAAAAATCTAGCAAGATTTCCGAACATAACTGGAAAACCCCTTAGGGTTTCCGAATGTTGCGAAAACCTTTGAGTTTCCGAGAAAAAGTTTCGAAAACCCATTAAGTAGTATCCAAAACCCGATTAGCATTCCAATAATTATCTTTTTTATTCTCATGTTCTATCGTGTGATTTTCAGGTAAAGCGGTGCTCGATATGCATGACATAAACCTTACTTAATTTGTGTGAAGTTGCTTTGTAAAACATAAGAAATCTGAGAAGTGTAAAAGAAGGCCTTGTTCC